TGCAAATTTGCAAAAAAGCAGCATATGCATCAAAATAAACTATTTTCAGCAGTGCAATAAGAGTCCTAAGCATCCCAGAAACGACACAGAAAGTCATGAAGTCAAAGATAACTTAGATAAAAACACCAGTATAGGCTAATGAGGCCCTGATGGTAAAAAAAACCCCTACATTTCCGCGAAAATGACGTCACTTCCGGTTTCGGGCAGGTAATGGCGGACATGCAAAAGTTCGCGCTGATGTCTATTCCAATGTAGGAAGTGTTATGAACAGCTGATCGGATCGGCAAAGTTTGTTTCTGGAATATTTTCTGAAATATGCAGTTTTTTTTTTTTTATGCAGTTTTTGCAAAGCTATATGTGGAAGGAAACTGTGACCTAGGACAAGCTGATGGCATAAAATGTAAGTACAACTCCTCCGGTTTCATATGCAAAAAAAATTATTGCGCTAGCTTACGTGGTTGCAGAGCTAACGGGATTTAAAAATAGTTATTCAAAACAGAGCGTGCCCGCTCCAACCGGCTTTAAAGGGTTAAAAAGGCCCCAACACGCATATCCAGGCAGTTTGCCAAGGGCGCTGTCAAGTGATGTAAACACATGAAAAAAATCAAACATGCTGAAAAACAGAGCAATGCTGTCTGCAATAACACAGCATATGAAAACTCGGGTTTCCACGGTTATGATAATGCAGACGAGCCCATCACCTCTGTCACAGGTAAGGGAGGTGATGGGAAACTGGGATGGCGTATGTTTCGCGCGGCAACCACAAGGGGATGCCAACACGCTATCATCGGTGAAGTGGCCAGTGAGCCTTCTGTCTCTCTGAATAAAGAGCTGGGCTACCAGTACTTAGTCAGCATGGGTGTTGAGGACATTGGATCTCCATGTCCTGAACCAGCATTTAAGGAAATACATGTCACACGCTCTCCACAAGTAGAAGAAACCAGGTTTCCTGTCTCGGGGCAGTTTCAGCCAAGAAGGTGATCTCCACAGATGCCTCTCTTTTGGGCTGGGGGGCCACCCACAAAGGCAAAGCAGTGCACAGTCCGGAAGCTCTACTGGGGGTGGATGCCCTAGCTCACGAGTGGCCAATAACCCTACTCTATACTTTTCCCCCCAGTGGCCCTCATTTCTCCAACTCTGGCCAGAGTGAGAGAAAGAGGTCACTGTATGATCCTGATAGCCCCACACTGGCCAGGGAAGCACTGGCTGGCAGAGATTTTTTAGCCACTTTGGCC